CTGCAGATTCAGTGCCATCGTTTGAGATACATTCTTCTCAGGGGAGGGGCAGGCATCCACTTAGTATTTGGGGCTGGGACCAGCCCCCTAGACCTCTCCACTGATTCCCTACTCCGCGCCGGCATGTTATTTTGTCATGTCTTAACACTGTTTGGCGTCTCCCTTCACCCACTTGAAAGTGTAATTTTATTTTATTTTATTTTTTTGATCGTTTTATTAGGGGCTCATACAACTCTTATCACAATCTGAAAGTGTAATTTTAATAGTTCAGTTTTGCCCTTAAAAGAAGAATGTTTTTCAGGAGAAGGAGATGTTGATAAGTTGAAGCTCTGAGATTTTCACTTCATTGTATGGAGAAAAGATTGAAGTTGTCAAGGATTTCATTTTACTTGGATCCACAATCAATACTCATGGAAGCAGCAGTCAGGAATCCAAAGAATGTGTATTGCATTGCACAGATGTGCCACACAAGATCTCTGTCAAATATCAAATGACTTCTTTCAAAAGCAAAAGATACCACTTTGTAGGCCGAGGTGCCCCTTACCCAATCCATGGTATTACTAGTCACCTCATATTCATGTGAAGGCTGGACAGTGCGTAAGGAATGCCAAAGAAGATTTGATGCCTTTGAAATGGTGTTGGTGAAGAATACCCAGTATTCCTCGGACTGCCAGAAGAATGAACAAATCCATTTTGTTTTGTTTTTTTGACTATTACAAAAGTTTATTTAACAATAATATTGAACATGATAAATGTATATAGCCTCATTTTCACACTAGTAAAACAGGTCCTTGGAGAGCGGCTGCGTGGCAGCAATTGATGTAGACTGTTGAACATAGCCATTACGTATACTCACTCCAAGACTTCTAACATGATGCTCCTATTGCCTTGTATTCCCACCATTCTCTTGTTCTGTTGTCCACTAGCTGCCATCTCCACACTTCCAACTATCACAAGATTCATAAAGGGATCAAATCCCCAAAGTAGCCCATGGATGTGTGTTAGTCTGGGTACTTTAGAGAAACAAATCCACAGAAACTCATGTGTAAGAGAGTTATATATAAAGGTTAAGTGTGCATCAAGAAAACATCCCAACCCAGTGCTGCCCAAACCCACAAGTCCAACATTAACCCATATGTCTGACACCAATCCACAGAGTCCTCCTCCATCTCACAAAAGACACGCAGTGATGTGGACTGCAGGAGGAAAGCTGAGTCAGTGAATGTGTAAGCAACTGAGTGCTGGCAGGGGTCTCCACACAGGTGCTCCAGCAAACCCAGGACTGTATCTGGGTAGGTCCATGTGGCTTCTCCTCAGGGATGTCTTGCAGGAAGTGAGCCTTGCCAGCTGGAGCAGGGAACTGCCTAAGGCAGCTGCACCCTGGTCCGACCATCAGAAATCAAGAGACCCGAGAACTGGAAAGGCGAGGTTCACTGAGCCATTTATCTCTTTGCCCTTCAATTAACCCCACATGTGTTTATTGGCCAGGTTAGCACAATAAACTACCTCAACATGCCTGCCACCATTGAATTTCAATGATAACTTCTTGCCCATAGATTTTTTCAGCTCGAGCAGATGAACTTTGCTCATTGCGCCTTCTCTGAAGGTTCAGCGCTGTCTTGGAAATCTGAACCGCATCCATTTTGGAAAAGGTTCACTCAGAATGGTCCTTAGAAACAAGGATGGCACCGCTTGGTCTTACATACTTTGGATGTGTTATCTGGAGGAGCCATTCCTTGGAGAAGGGCATCATGCTTGCTAAAGTAAAACACTAAACTCAGAGCGAGGGTCAATTGTAACTCACAATAAAATTATTGGGCACAGTAGAACTCCACAGGGCTTTTTTTTAACATTTTATTAGGGGCT